TCATTCTTAACGCGTCCTACGAAATTCTTACGAGACAGCACTAGTCCGTGAATTTGTGAACAAGATCGGAGATCGGAGATATATATATATATATATAAGCCAAAACAATAACGAACCTTATCGTAACATAATTCATTGAGCTTCTACTCATTTTGCAAATTATAGATACAATCCTTATATTTATAAGTGACAGGTAGAGAATTCTAGCATGGTTAAACTAAGTGAAAATAACTATTAGTTAAATCTATCTATGATAGCTAGGGAACATTAACTATAGACTGAGTAAATAAAACCACTTACAAATTTGTAACTGTATTCATTTAAGCATGTTTATGTATTGCTGTGTCAACAGAGCAATGTTAATATTTAAAAGCAATAATAATGGTAACTTATAAATGTTGTATGTAGGTTGGATGTTTGGCGATCCTCACATCCGTACGCTTGATGGGCTTGAGTACACTTTCAATGGCATTGGTGAATTTGTTCTCGTGACTGTCAACGAAGGCGACTTCGTATTACAAGGTCGAATGGAAAAACCAGTAATTGAAGATGAAAATGTACTAGCTACCATATTCTCAGCGTTTGCAGCTCAGGAAAGATCGACAAAGGTGAAAGCGGTTGGCCCGTCACTTACAGAAAGGAAACAATTCATTTAATTTTTATTTCATTTATTTCACCAAATTCATTAAAATACACACAAAAGACAAAGACAAAACTATACAAAACTGTTTTTTCCTCTGACAAGGGCATCATATACAAAAATATTCTACAAGTCTCCCTCCAATTAAAAACTACTTTAGGGACCAGGATTTCCATGGCCTTTATCAGCTTTGGTCTAATAAAAAAATGAACAGAAAAATGTGCAATTTAATAGAGGGATTCGGCGATGTTTGTTACAGCCGGTCACGTGACATAACTTGGGTATACATGAAAAACATTACAGTGCGATAGTATATGAAAAGATAATGTTATGGTTGCGAAAAGAACCACTCACTGTTAATGTGAGAGATAAATGGCTATTAAAGGCAATATGATTGTACAAAACAGTGTTTATTTACTTATCCTAGCGTTCTCCTAGGATTGTATGCTTTAAAATTGTGATCCTTCATTCCAGTAGGCGAATGTATTTGCGCGAATCAAAAGCGTCGGTTGATGCGCACGTGCATTTACGTTTCTATTAGAGTTTTCACTTCAGCAAAATCAGTAGTTCGAAGTGTTTCTACTTTTTGCAAAGTGAAAAAATGTGCAACCAATCAGAGCTCAGGAAGCGAACCAACGTTGGTTCGCTTCTGATAGGAATGTGAATGCACATGCGCATAAACCGATGCTTTCAATTTGCGCGAATAAATTTGCCTAGTGGAAAACCGGCTTTACATCGCAGCGTAGTTCGCGGGTCGAAGACCATGAATACCTAACCATGCCGTAGATGTGCAGGGCCTAGCCGAAACATTTGTCGAAAAATCTCAATGTTTGCGAACATTAGCAAACTATGAAGGCAAAATTATCAAGTTTAATTTACAATTAATTTTGGTATAGTTTACTGGGATTTATGATGATCTTTACAGCAATAACAAGGGACGGTCGTAGTAGCAATCTCCATGTAAAACACTGCTGTGCCAGTTGATTGTTTATGTCCAACACCTAAGTTAGGTCATGTGATGCCCATCACTGAATCCCTCAATTGCAGGTGGTTTTTAATTAGAGGGAGACCTGTATATAAAAATATTTTATGAGGAAACATTTAAATACATTTAAAAAAAAGAGCAAAATCTAAGGCGTGCTTTGTGAGTATTTGGTTATGTAAACTTTCTCTGCAGTGTTGGTTAACAGGTTTTTTTTACATAACCCAACCACAACATTCACAACATTCGGGAATGTTATAATAACGTTTTGTGTTTGTTGGGCAGACGTTATGAGATTAGTGCAGGATAAAATAATTGTCAAGTCTACTAGCTATCTTCAGTATATTTATCGATTTCAGTAAGTCTTCATATTTATGTGTCTAATTTACAGGTACAAATGACGCTAAATGCAAGTTCGAATGATTTCGCTATTTTAGTTAATGGAAGCATCGTTGTCAATAAAACAAGTCTGGCTGAAGGTAAATACATTAATAAATTAAGTTTGTATGGCGTAATATAAAAATAATGATATAAAGTTTTGTGATATATTTATTATTTTATTTATTAGCATCTAAACATTTTTAATTAGTATTCGTTAAAACACTATTCGCTTATTATGAGCTTATTATGATTATGAGCGGCATGATTTGTATTATTTTAAAGTATAATACATTGAAAGATCTACTGGACTGCCTGCGTGGTAAAAAAGCTGATTATGTTAGATAAACGTTTTTTTACCATTTTAAAATTAAATTTATATTCACAGTGTTGTTTATTCTATTAATTTTAAAATTAAATTTATATTCACGGTGTACTTTATCCTATTTGATAATAAAAATATATACATATTTCTTAGCAATAGTAGATACGAATTTACTTTCAAATATGTAGATTATTATTGGCGATTTTACTATTGCAGTATTTTCGAACAATATTAGATACTGCCATAGAATGTTGCCACTATGTAACATTTCGTGGAAATGCAGCATGACATCAATATTTGGTGAAAATACCTACTATGGTTTGTAATCATGCAACGTTTCTTATAAATGTTATCAAATTATGATATATTAATGTGCTTCTTATACTGTAGATAGCATCTACATATGTATATGTGTCTCATTGGAGTAGACCTATTTAATAATTGTTTGAATTTGATTCCTATCCTGGTTTAAACAGTACGTGGTGTTAGAAACATAATTAATACTTATGCAAATTGACTTATTACATTTTCCACAGGTCCTTACACACCACCAGCTGATCCTGGTTTTATAATAAGTCTCCCTTCTGGAAATTCAACTGGGAACCGTGTAATTGCATCATGGTTATCCGGAATTGCCATATCTGTTGGTTTATCTGGCCCAGCATTAGACGTCGTGGTGTCTATTCCGGAAAGTTTTAAAGGTTCTACCAAAGGATTATATGGTATGTTATACTAGGCCAGTGGTTCCCAACCTGGGGTTCACGAAAAATAATCGGGGGTTTGCTAAGTCAAAGGGTCCGAAGGGGTCTTCGAAAAATATAGGGTCCACAATATTGTTGGGGTCTGCTAGATTATTAGAACAACTTTTTCATGGTTATTTTTTCTTGTCTTACAATAGTGTGATCATGCCTTGACAATAATGAACTACCTTTGACAGGCATGACTTTGTTCACTGTAAATTGTTTTAATTGGCATTATATTTTAATTTTAATATTTTATTGGTGATCTGATAGAATTTTTTTAATTAGTTTTTTCTATGTATTTAAAGATGTTTAGTATAGGAGAGCCACTTGATAGTGGCAATCCTCAGGTTTTGTCTTGTGTTGCTTTTATCTGGATATTGAATAAATGTAAGAAATCAGGAGGAATTTGACGAAATTAAAGGTAAATGGGGGGGGGGTGTAACAGAATATTACATTCAAATTTTGAGTTCTCATTGTGTCATTTCCATCTACAGGTGCCATAAACATAAAATTTCCTACCTTCGCCCAAAATAGGGTGGGGATGAGGTAGCGTAAATCTCCTATTTGTAAAATTTACTGTCTGTACCCCTCCCCTCCTGCCTATGTCGGGTTCCTAGATCCAAAATATCGTAATTTGACGAATCATCTTCTATTCATAATCTTATTGGTGTAATATCAACCATGGGTCACCCTAAATTTTACACGTTAATAATAAAAATGGGGTATGGAGATAGAAGAAAATTACTTTCAAAATCTGACAGTGCCATTTCCAGCCATCTAGAAGGGGCATAGACTTAAAAAATTGTGTACCTCAGCCCCTAACATGGTAGGGCTGAGGTGGTTTCTGTTTCGAATTCCAGTTTTGCCACTCTTTAATGTTGTGCTTTCATGGCGAATCATCTTTTATCTATAGGACTAATAAGTCATATTTGGACTGGACATGGGGTCCATGAAGATTTTAGCATGTCCAGATGGTCCGCTGAATTAGACCACACTTTAAAATGTTGAATGTTATGCAATTTATGTCTATTTCGTGAATACTTACCTGGATAACCGACTAATTGCCATTGTTCCCAAAACGGAACACCCCTTCGAAAAAAAAAATGGAACAGTCCGACCCAAGGCGCCACGTGCGAACTGTCTCCCTAACAAACGTCCTCATTCCCTTGGATACATTCTAGAAAATTACTAGCAGTCTTTTCAAGCTCTTCTGTTCTCCTTGGATTTATTTTTGCATTGGATTTATTTTCAACTTGTGGTTGACAAGATATCCTTTTTTATCCTTTTTTACTGTAGTCTCGATCGGCATGTTCGCTCGCAAGTCTTTGTGCTCGGCGTGTGGAGGCCCCAAACCGAGTGTGAAGCTCGACCGGCACTCGGAGTGCCTGTTGTGTCGCTTGTGTAGCAAGGCTGAGCCTTGCGAGATTTGTGCGCGCTGGCCCCTGACTAAGTTTGCGGTGGCTCTGGATTGGGCAGCTCAGACTGCCACTCGATTTCAGGGTTCGCTGCCGGCTGCGTCGGGGGTTGTAGTGGCGCCGGATGACTCGCCTCCACCGCTGGATGATTCGTCGGCTTCGCGTTCAGGGGGGTCCTTCCCATCCGCTGGATCCGGCGCTGGTTTCGTTGATTTCGGAGCAGGTGGGCCGGGTGGCTCGGGAGGTTTTCGCCGGGAGGTTTTTCGCCCCAGCAGCAACAGCCTCTGTTGCATCCCCTCCCGCAGCCCGCAGCCGCTGTCCCTCCTGCTCCTGCTCCTGCCACCAATCGACAATTCGCCCGGGCTGCTCCCTCAGCCGACAGGGCACGGCGTCGGCGGCGGGGGAGGGGTGGGCCTCCTCCTGGTGGTTCCGCTGAATTAGACCACACTTTAAAATGTTGAATGTTATGCAATTTATTTTTTGTCTATACCTGCATTTGAGTTATCAATATGTAATTTAACATTACTGTGTATTATTATAAATGAAACTATTACTTTTTCAGGTGTTTGGAATGATAATGTAACAGACGATCTTACATATCCAAACAACAGTATGATGTCTGTACCTGAAAATGGAACTTTGACAGATAGTGACGCATTTTATTTTGGAGTTACATGTAAGGCACTTGTTACAGAAATGTTTCAGTTTCACAAATATAATCATTGTTTCTTATCAGAAAACATTAACAAATAAACACCACTTAATTTTAGGGAGAACAACGGATCAATCCACACTCTTCACATATTCTGATGGAGAATCATGGAACACTTTGAATAACTTAACATTCGTACCAGTATTTTTAGAAGACCTTATCGAAGAGAATGAAGGTACTGCACTGTATAATGAGGCAATACAAGAATGCGGTGATGATCGTATGTGTCTTTTTGATGCATTAGCAACAAGTGATATTTCTTTTGGTGTAAATACAATGGAAATAAATAACAACAACAACGAAAATGCAGATGAACTTGGTAAGTTAGTGAAAAGATGAATGTGTACGGTAATTGATATTTACGTAGATACTACTTAAAATAGGCAGATATAATTCAAGATTTCAGGAATAAATATATCTGTTTGTTTTTTCATGTAACAGCAAATTTTCCACCCAACATTACCAGTGTTATTGCCATTTCTCCCGAAAATGCGCTAAATGGAACTAACCGACTTATGGTTATGGTAGATAATCAGTATATACTCAGGATTAATGCCTCAGACCCCGAAGGTGACCCAATTACATATTCTCTTGAAGACATTGTCCCAGGTGGAGGCATTGATACTGGTAGGTACTAATAACAAATACGATCTCTTTCTCTCTCTCTTTATCCTGTCTCTTATAATATTACCATTCTTTCTCACTAAAGAAAAATGCATCACCACCTTTAGATTAAGTTATAATCTTAATATTTTAAAAGATGGTTACTTTTTCTGGACACCTGGTTCCACCGACCAAGTTTTACTAACATTAGTCGCAATGGACAATAAGGGTGCAGCGACAGCATTTCCACTTGAGGTCATCATTTGTGAATGCCAAAATGGCGGAGTTTGTGATTTCAATGCTCTTGTCGATGGATCAGACCTCTTGAACAATCGTTTTGCGGTAAGATAATAACATACTTAAAGCATATTTTGTTACATAGGCCTATATAACGTTCGTAGAAAGAATATGGAAAATTATTGGAAGTGGAATTTTCAACAGTGAATATATGCCATGTACAGTAGAGATTAAAATCTAATCTGTCTCTAATCTAATCTTCAAAAAAGTTCTAGAATAATATTCAATATTATTAGTATCTAATGCAGGAGCAGATTCAGGATTTTTTAGGGGAAACTGTACCAATAATTATTATTATTTGAATTACACCTACCTCAGCCTAACCATCCATGCAAGTATGGTCCCCTCATAACCAGTGGTGGCACCATCAGGGGTGGGGGGGCAGGAAAGCCAGTTTATTATCCCCTTCATTATTATTATGTTTTCTTGTTATTTTTGCACCGTTTTCACAGGTTTCAGAGTGTAATTGCCCAGCTGCTTGGACGGGCACAGATTGTAGTGATGATTACAATGCATGCTTAGATGAGCCTTGTTATACAGGTGTTGCATGTTTTGACCAGATGGCACCTTTGGCAAATGTAACATGTGGTAGCTGTCCCAGTGGTTTGATTGGAAATGGATTCAAGTGTTACGGTAAATCGATTTGATTTTTAAAAAAATAACTTTAATGAACATATCCAACAACAGTTTGTTCATGATGTTCTATAGTTGGGTCACATGGAATTTTGTTGATTTTCATTGGCAACATCAGGGTATCTTAACAATCTGGCAGTGGTGGTGCCAGTGGGGGATGGAATTTTTCCCACTGTCGGATCTGGACCTCCCTTCCCCCACTGTAGTCCGATGCCACGAATAAACAACGTTGTTTTAATTGCCAATCCCTAATATTGGGGTCTTCATGGACAATTTTGTCTCTAAAAACTCTTCCCGTGGACTATACTACAGATTTTATTATGGGACCCTGATCCTTGGTTTGGCCACCTGATTTCTGTAGCCACCTGCACTAACCTTGCGGCTTCGATTTAATCGTCCCGACCCAATACTTACCTGGCTTAGAGTAGGTGCTCTTTTCTATTATAACGTTTCATCCTCTATATTATGTATGGTTAATTTACCTAAATATCTAGCAATATTGTCTCCTGTTGTAGATTACAATGAATGTGTTGAAGGTCGTGACAGAGAAGATGGTGTAGAATTCTGTGAACAGGAATGTACAAATACTTTAGGGTCATATACATGTAGTTGCAGAGAAGGATACGACTTGGATGTTGGTCTTAAAACGTGCAACGGTAGGTTACATATTTATTCACTAAACGACTCAAGCAATTAAATGGTCTGTAGTTATCATAACATAATCACATAATTTAAATACTGTAAATGCTTGAATAAGCGCCGCAGCACACAAAATTTTGGAGGCTTCAGTGCGGCGCTTATTCGAGAGCGGCGCTTATAAAAAAAATATTGGCGTAGTGCTTTCCATGCCTGTTCCCATGTTACCGATTTCACCTACTCCTGAAGTTCAGTAGGCCTATCATACTGGAGGTCCTATCATCGTAAACAAACGTTTATAAAGAAATGCTTGTGTCTTCATTGTGTCACCTTGGGCGAGTTGAGTGGCCGAGCGGTAAGGCGGTGGCGCCATTAGCGACAGCTTGTGGCGCCAGCTTGTCGCCACAAGCGACAGCTTGTGGCGTTTAATATCAACGCTGGTTCCAGCCGCTCCTCGCCCATGGTTCAGTTGGTAGAACCAAGTCTCGGATAAGGAATTAAAATGGATGTCCAGTGTATATATCTGGCTCGTGTGCACTTTAAAGTACCGATTGCATCGAGTAGGGGGTTACCCCAATGTTATGGTTTATTTCGGCCCCTGTCGTTCTGGAATGAAGTGAACATGTATCTACCATGAAGCTGCTAGTAGGTACTCACGGACCACACCCATACGTATTCAGCACAATGATTCTGAAAGTTATGGGTTATTCTCCTACCTTTACCTTTATTTATTCATTTGTATACACAGGGTAATATTATATACTCTCGATTAAGCGCCGCAACGCTTATTCAAAAATATCTTTTATTTTGAAATTTACATAAGAGGAAAATGTAAAGCCAATCCGCAGCTCAAATCATGCCAGGTTTGATTGGATTATTGGCTTGCTAAGAAAAAATAAATGATTATTGTTTTAAAAATTGAATAAGCATCGAAGGGACTTAATCAAATTAGGAGTGCGCTTATTCAAACAGGGCGCTTAAGAATATCTTCACATTAGGAGGACGCTTATTCAAATGGGGCACTTATTCACGCAAGTACGGTAATGTTTATTTCAGTATTATCTTTGACGAATTCGTTTATTATTTTAGAATTATATTTCATAAAGCTTTAATTATTTTAGCATGGTAAACTTACAATGTTCTTATTAATACTACTACTATTTTTTTAATTTTCTTTTTTTAAGGCATTTGCGTTTATGGTTCATTGTATGTTATAATAAAGCCTAGTTTGCACACACGTATATGATAAAATCTTACGAACATTTTTTTTTTTTTTTTTGTATTTTTCAGACATTGATGAATGTATGATGATGAGAGACGACTGTAGCAACCAGGCATTATGTACAAATACTGAGGGATCTTTCAACTGCACGTGTTTAGATGGGTACAGTGGTGATGGAAAAACATGCAATAGTAAGATACAACTAAATACTGACTCTCTTTAGTTCTGTAGCATAATATTAACAATGTTCAAAAATTGTAGAATGACGTTATATATTTGAATATGTACATTTTTGCTTGCACAAAATTTGATGAAGATTCAAGCTAACGCGGTAAAAGCCAATAATAATAAAAATAATAATAATATGTAATCGTAGTTGTGTATTCCTAATACTTTAGAGGACAAAAATGGGTCTAGGCCCGTTGCCACCTGGCCTGTTGCCACCTGGCATTTTGCCACCTGGCCCGTTGCCCCCCGGCCTTTTGCCACCCGGCCTTTGCCACCCTAGGCCCGTTGCCACCCGGCCTTTTTCCACCTAGGCCCTTTGCCACCCGGCCTTTTGCCACCCTTCCCATTGCCACCATAGGCCTTTTGCCACCCAGGAACGTTGCCACTCGGTCTGTTGCCACCGTAGGCCCATTGCCACCCGGCATTTTGCCACCTGGCCCGTTGCCACCCATAGTTGTATAGTAGGCCTATGCATTGTATTCGCGAAATTTTACTCTCTGCATTTTTGCCAAACTATGTGTACTGAATGATGAATGGATTGATTGTTTGGCAGATTGTAAACAATGACAATTCGTTGCGATTAACCATCATGGAAGGCACACATGTGAAGTAGCTTCCTGATTTAATAGAGTTCTATCTTTATTTGTATGTACTCAGACGTACATATGTATATATGTATATGTTTTCTGAGTATGTACTGTATTTAGTGTGTATGTGTGTATGTTTTTTTACATTTTTTGTGAAGGCAGAACATCATGAATTAAAATTCTTGTAGTGTTATAAATTAAACAGATTTAAAAAAAATGTAATTGTTGCCTTTGAGTGTCGAAATAATAATTAACATAAATATCTGTCTCTTATACACATCTAGATGTGTATAAGAGACAGCAGAGAAGATGGTGTAGAATTCTGTGAACAGGAATGTACAAATACTTTAGGGTCATATACATGTAGTTGCAGAGAAGGATACGACTTGGATGTTGGTCTTAAAACGTGCAACGGTAGGTTACATATTTATTCACTAAACGACTCAAGCAATTAAATGGTCTGTAGTAAATTAGGCTTGAAGACCCTACAATCTGAACGATAGCCTGGGTGGCAAAAGGAAGGGTGGCTAAAGGCTGGGTGACAAAAGGCCGGGTGGCAGAAGGCCGGGTTGCAACGGGCCGGGTGGCAACGGGCCGGGTGGTAACCGGCCGGGTGGCAAAGGGCCAGGTGGCAACTCCTTTACCTAGAACTTGTTTAATCATAAATATTATTCCGACACACATTGCGTTGCACGACGGTCGTAATTGTCTTCCAACGAATCTATCTCGTGAATTGAAGCTATCTGGTGATTGTTGGTGGCACTCTTAGTGGATCCTCTATACCGAAAAAAGGTAGATGTTAAGTGAATAGATGAAACTATCTCAACAATACTTTATTTTGTATTTCTTCTCAAAAGATATAAATGAGTGTGGAAGAGTGGATTTCCCTTGTGACATTAACGCAGAATGCACCGACACGGATGGTTCATTTGTTTGCCAATGTACTGATGGTTACGAAGGAAATGGACAGACATGTGAAGGTAACTTATTGACCACCTAATTACAAATTGGTTCTTTAGTCACAATAATTAGTCTGTCAACAGGCACAAATCCTCGATTGTCCTACCATTGCCATGGTAGCCCCATGACTGAAACATTGGTGGCTTGCTGTGCTCATGAATGCTTTCGATGGAAGAGGTAACCTACATTATTGCTGTTGATTTCTTCTTTTTCAGAACGACAGACCTTTTAGTATTTTCGTAGGGCTTTTGCCATCTTCACCATAGGGCTATTTTCTTGTACCATGCTATCGCCTGCCAATTGTCTACGTTCCCCTAGGGAAAGCACATTGTAGAAAATCTTTGATTGCTGATCCCGACATGGTGGTCCTTGGTTATTCCCAACACTACCACTTTGTTCCAGTCTACATTTCGAACAGGTCGTTTTGTTCTGGGAGGTGTTACTGTATATAAGTTTAAATAATTATACAATGACTTTTATACTTTGCCGGCCTTCATTGCTATGCCCTTGTCATGGCCTTTTGATAGCCATTCAGTACGTTTTACTCGCATAGTTTCCCCATCACTCAAACTGTACAGTTTTGAGTTGTAGATGTAATATGAAGCAATATAATTTATTAAAACAAAATATTTCAAACAGGACCTGTGTGCATCCTCACACTGTTATATAATGTGAGGAAGAACACATGTCTTGTTTGAAGTTATTGTGATGTAATAAATTAAATTGCTTCATATTATGTCTACAATTCAAAGCTGTATTTTACTGATGTCTTTTTACATTTTATCATTATTATTATTTTTATTATTATTATTATTATTATTATTATTATTATTATTATTATTATTATTATATATATATATATATTTTTTATCTATAATTCATCTAATTTTAGATATCGACGATTGTGCTCGTTCACTTCATACATGCGTTATACCTGTCTCTTATACACATCTAGATGTGTATAATATATATATATATATATATTTATCTATAATTCATCTACTTTTAGATATCGACGAGTGTGCTCGTTCACTTCATACATGCGACATTCACGCTGTCTGTATGAATACCCAAGGTTTTTATATGTGTGCCTGTGCTTCTGGATGGACTGGTAATGGAACGATTTGTCAAGATGTAAACGAATGCAACAATATGTTGCCGTGTTCCAGCGAAAGATATATTTGTGAAAACACACCTGGTAGCTTTGCTTGTAGTTGTCCAAATGGTTACTATGATGGATCACCTTGCATGGGTTAGAGTTTTGAATTTTTTAAATTACTCAAATTAGAAAATTTATAATCAAATTCGAATTTGTAAATTCTTTTTATTACAAAATAAAAAAATAATCACTATTCATGTACTTTTTTTTTTAAATTTCTTTGACCTTTCACCTATTATGATTGACATATAATGCCCATTCATTATTCGTATTATATAGAGCAAACATTTCTTATCAACATCGTTGTGATGCTGTAGGTAAAAGTTCATTTATTTGGGCTTCCAACTTAAAATTATTACCTAATTGTACTCCAAGTAATAATTCATTGTATAATGACAATAACATGACGTACTATGCATATGTTGATATATTATAAAAATGCTTCATAATACATTTATCTAATTGACAGACATTGATGAATGCACTAGCGGTACCCACAACTGCTCTGATACAGCAATGTGTGTTAATACCAATGGTGGATTTGAATGTCCGTGTAGAACAGGCTACAACCTAACAGATGGTACATGCCAAGGTATGCATCATTTTTCCAATACAAAATATGAAATATGTAAATTATTTATAATATTACCAAATTAAACAAGAGTTAGGAAAACCAAATAATTTTGTAACTGATGTTATTTTATTAAGAATGAAAACCTAAAAAAGTGTAATGTATAGGCCTATCTGATAAAAATATCATTCATTTATTTAAGTTATGTACTTTATCAAATAACATTGTATACTTTATCACACATAGACATCGACGAGTGTGCTGCTGTCCTGAAACCGTGTGACGTAAATGCTGATTGTGAAAACACAATTGGAGGTTTTGACTGCACATGCCATTCCGGTTACACGCAGAGCGGAAGTGACTGTGATGGTATGTGCCACATATTGGCTATACAGGTCTCCTAATTAAAGTCCACTCCAACTAATGACTATCTCCAATTGAAGATCACCTTTCTAGGGCCCTAAATGAATGACTTTTATGAAAATAATTTTTGTAATTAAAGACCAAGGAAACGCCGGTTCCAAAGTAGTCTTTAATTGGAGGGAGACCTAAATGTTTTTCTTCATATTCTGTTCACTAGTAGTAAATTTCAGGAAGTCCAACATGACACTTACAAGAGAAGCTTTATATCTCAGGAGTTATGGAATCTGTTTTGGTCAAGTAACCAAGTATAGTTCCTTTATAAGTTCCTTTATACTGTAGGTCTTTATCAGTTGTATGAAAAAGTGACTCTGGCGGGATTCGAACCTGCAACCTCTTGCTATCATATGTAAATGTGGTATTATTATTACAGATATAAATGAATGTGAACTTAATATTGACAACTGCCAGCAAATGTGTAACAATACAGATGGAAGCTATAATTGTTCCTGCAACACAAACTATGTATTACAAAATGATGGAATGTCTTGTCAACGTAAGTATATTGCAATAGAATGACCATCATGACTATATTAGTCTTTCGTGAATACATTCATGGATAAACCGATAAATGTCAAAGGTCCCTTGAATATTGCACTGTCCACGAGGAACTTGGTATTAGTGCCTACACTCAAAGCGTTTATAGATGAGACGGGCTATTTCATTATTTTACATTTTTGTTCTATCGCAAGTTTCAAAGAAACTGTGGCATCTCTAGATGCAATGTTCTAGCGAGAAATTGCGAAGCGGATCAAATAGTAGAAATGGAACGTGGTAATTTATTGGTTACGTAAAAGAAATAGGCGGAATACACAACAATGACCTATATCTTTATACCAAGCATGGCTAAGTCTCCCCAGCCTATGGCCATGTCCAAAAATTTTTAAAAAATTGAAGATTATGCACAAACATCTTCATAAAAGTCCACTTTCAATACAACATACCAAATGGTTCTGTATGTTTTTACCAAACTATTTTGTGTATCCCATCTTTTCCCACTCTCATGCGCCATGCTCTTTTTTGCATTGTCACACATCTCACTTTAGTTCTGTTGAATCTGGTCTTGGTTTATCCAGGTAAGTATCATAATTATAGACTATAAACGTCGCTGCTGATTTGTTTAATTTACTTTATAAGGCAGTCGGTAAAGCAAATAATCCTTGGTTTGATGTACTACTCTATTTCTGTACATTACTTGCTTGTTGGATACCAATTAATATTAATCTGCATTACAATCATAATAAAGCAACAATATACTGATAAATATTTGCTAGTAGTTACAACAATATACAACATAGAAACCCTTGAAAAATTGTTTTGAAATGTTTATGAATATTTTTCATTCCAGCTATACAGGGTGCAGAATGTACTAACAATCCATGTGTGAACGCATTCTGCTCAATGAATGGAGGTGAAGTTGAATGTCTATGTAAACAAGGATATGAATCCATCGATGGGAATTCAACACATTGTCAAAGTATTTCGACTTTTCGGTTTAAACTACAAATTCTTATCTCCACAAGAAAATATTAATTATCAAATAATTTATATTAAGAATATAAAACTCCTTTAGTACTACTGCAGTGGATATGTGTGCTTTATAAATCTTATTATTATTATTTATTATTATAAAAGCATGTTGACATTCTAACCGGACATAGCAACTGCAAGACATTTTATTGTTTATCTCTATATATTATACTGATTACATATATGATGTTAAATAT